TACTATTTTGTAGTTTTTGAGAGTTTTAATTAAACTTCGGTCTAGGTTATCTGGGGCGAGGGATTGGGAAACAGAAAACTTCTGTAAAGTTTGATCGAAGATTTCTGAGGATAAAGAGCCTGAACGTGCAGTTCGTTTCGAGGAACTTCTTTTTTTTTGCTCGATAAAAATGGATTTTCAATACCTCTTCAAGATTATTAACAGCTGTGTAGTATTATTTTTAAAATTGATCTGAATGTCGGATTCAGAGGTGGAACTGGTATATCGGCCTCACCGATTTTTCTTTCTTTTTGGCGGCAAGGACGGAATAAAAAGAACGGCGTTCGGATTTAACTAGGGAAACTATCGGATTGTGTCAGATTGAGTGGGGTTTGTGATTTCCTTCGATAATACTTTTCTCGTTTATTTCACAAGTAACCCGCAGTAAAGTTAATTATTTTTTACGCGTCTTCCTCGAGAAAAAGCAGTCAATAGCAAATTTTCAATCCTTTTTTGATCTGTTTCCATTAAATAGCTCAAACTTTTAATTGGTTGTCGGGTGTGGAATAGGGTTCGGTTTCGACTAACGTCGGGTCGGACTCAGGCGTCATGTAATTGATGGTTGAGATTGCTCTAATGATCGCTGTATTTCACCAAGATCGTTTAGACATGCATATTCTAATTGTGGATTATTAATTATTTCGAGAAGTTTATGACGTGAATGTTGATTTGGAATAAGATGATGATTATTAGTATTAGAATTTTGCGGTAATGGTGTTATATTATTATTTGTTTGTTGTTGTAAAGTTGAATTATTTTGTGGTTGCTGCTCGATTTGAAATTTTATTCCATGTTCATTGAAACGTCTGCTAATCTGTTGTATTGTTTTACCTATTCGTTTGCGCCAACACCTGCAAATATGATTGTGGTAGTACAAAAGTGGCAAAAGTCGTACAGGTGCTAAGCAGTGTTTTTGCTTTCCCGACAATATGGTTTTGTACTCGTTTTCATGTTAGCGTTTTTGTTGAAAGTTTTAATGTAACATCTCTTGAATTAATTGCCAAAATAAAACAAAAATAAATCTGTGTAATCATCATTACCGTCTTTTGCAACTACATAATAAACTAAATTAGATTTTAATGGATGTGGAATATTATCTTTTATTTGAAAATATTGTTGTATAGTTTTTCAAACT